TAAAGCCTTTTTTCACACCATCTGTTGGCTCCTCCTCTTGGGCAAGCAGCATTTGTGAAATTAAGTTACTCTTATAAACCTCTCCACTTTCTCGCTCTAGTTCAATCTCTTTTTCTCGGCTCTCAACCATGTTTCGAAGAATGGAAGGCCATTCTTTGAATACTAACTTGTACTTGGATGGGAAAAAAGATCTTTGTAAACGGCTCAATATATCTTCTGTTAAATAATAGTCCTGCAGAATAAACTTGAACAATAGTTTTAGCAATGAGAGGGAGAATATCTTTTTCATTTCCCAGGCAATCAAACTGAGCTCCAAATCCAGCTTGAGAAATTACATCTAAAGTGACTCTTCTCATCCAATCATTGATTACTACACAATTATTTTCCAAATTTCTTCTTTCCCAAATCTTTTCCACCAAACGATTCGAAATACGGTGCACATGTTCTTTCAATATTTTCGCAAGATTCTCATCTGAGAAACTTGGTTGTGTCAATCGCCTTTCTCTTTTCCATGAATCTCCATAATCAGTGAATACATTCTTTACTCTATAATCAATATTTAAATTATTGAATAATGGATGTTTTCTAAATAATTTGGCTTTTGTAACGAGAATATCTTTGTAATGTTCGGGATCACTATTTACAAATATCGAGTTCAACAAATTGAATAACAGGATGATAAATTATCCCACACCACTAATAATTCTTATGAAAATCAATAATTGTACTATGACTTACACGACAAAGCAAATAGTATCTGTTCCCATTGTAATTCTCCAAATATTGTGCTTTCCGAACTTTTTAGCATTCAACTCTTGGGATCGAGGAGAGAAGAGAAAATCTTGTTGTGGTGCAAATAACTTCAACGTGAAATAGGAATAAAAGGAATATCCTGGAATGTGTTTTACTCGATTCACTTCCTTGAGATGAAGCGTGTAATGATACAAATGATACGTGATGAAGAGAATAAGAGTCGACGAGAGGACCACGAGAAACATTTTTTTGTTTAAAACTCTCCAATAACTTAATCAGAAAATAGATGGTTACATATATATACTTAACAGCCATGACAGCACGAGGTGAAGAACCAAACCTCGTGTGTTTCAGAAATTCCTACTCATAGAAAATTGATTTGTAATTGGAGTGCAATTTTAAATTCATCTTTTGAATATGAAAAAAAATGCTCAACAGCAATCCCGCATCATCTTCAAATAATAACATGATGACTCAAGATGATGATGATTTACAAGGACTTGATATCGGACCAATTGCACAGTCTATAAATACTAGTTCTACTAATCATCATCATAATTTACAAAATCAACAGACAACAAATGCTACTTTGGATTCGGAAGGGGATGTAACAATGACAGACCATGGTGGTGATGAAGTTATAAAGAGATTTGAAGTTTACCTGTCGCATAAATTGTCTGATAAACTTTATGTATTACAGTATCCGTTGCGTCCGAAGGATAATAATTATAATTTGAATCAATTAAAAGAAGTACGATTCAAACCTAATCATAAAAAGATGGAAATGGAGTTTGAAGTGAATACAAGAAGTGAACACTTTGATGCAGATACTGGACAAGAATATACAAGTTTTTGCTTGTCATCAACTTCGGTTCCAGTCAAGGCTAATTATGCTGTTGGAATTTTGAGAGGCAACCAATTGCATTTAACTCCATTATGGAACATGCTTCAACTAAGACCAAGTTTTCAACACATCAATGAGGGATATTCTACAGGAAAGAGTAAAGTTGTAAGAAAAAAGAAAGCAGATGAAGGTACAGAAGCAGAAGGCGAAGAAAAGGCAGAGGCGGGCACGACGTCACAAACAGGAGGAACCACAAATTTCAGACTGCAATCTGACAGAAAAGCTCTTGAAAGATCTTATCAATTTATGAAAGATCAGGAAAATAGCGAAAAACCTGTAGCACTGGCTTTTTATCCTCCTCATGATTCACGACAACACATAGAGT